AAGCCTCGTAGCACGTAAAGTAACAGGAGGCGGGTGCTTTGCGTCTTGACCATGTTTAGGAAGACGAAATTGTACCGAGTCTTGAACCATTCGAGAACTCCGCAAAACATCGAGAGAACTAACGGTACTCTGAATCGGACCCGTCTGTCCCTTCGTCGGCTTACGCTTAGGAACCCAGAAATTAGCATGAGGGGCCTCGGCAGCACACGCAGCTTCCAAGTACCTCCCAACCTCCTCTTCATCTGCGGTAAATCTTAAGAAAAACGGTGCAGGAAGTGCGTTGCCTTCAAAACACCCAAGGTCACTTGGATCGAAAATGGATGGATGAGCACCTTCAGAAGCTCTCCCTTCAGTAGACATGCTTAACAAGTATGGAAAGATACAAGGAAAAGAGAGAGAGATTTTCTCCAAAGACAAGAAAATATTTATGTGGAAAGAAGTGAGTAAAGAATTTAAAAACTTACTCCACATATTTATAAGCAAAATTTTACTACTCAATCACAGAATTTTGGTCGTTAAAGTTCTGCCTACTTCAACAAAAACTTGCCGAATAAGTTCAAACCGCTCGCAAGAACTCTACGATTCTTACGGGCTGGGGGGCTAACTGTTAGGGTCAAAATCGGATACAACGGAATCAACGACTAAAACTTCCTGAAAAAGTTAAGAATAAAGATTTAAACACAAAAAAGTGTCGAGAAGAAATCTAAGGATTCTCCGAACAAAGAAACTCCTTAAAACTCGGCAATCGTCATCTTGGAAATTGTCGCGAAATCGAATAGAACAGCCCGCGATTGTTTTATTTGCCAAGTTAAAAAAAACGGCCTTAACATCCAAATTTCCCGAGATGTTAAAACTATTGTTAAGATCGGAGTCAAATCCTTCAGAAACGTCTCCTTACATCCTCAAAGGTCTCGGGTAGAGAAAACAAAAAAAAAAAGACAAAAGCCGAGCACCCGTCTAGCTCGCCAACGAGCAAGCTAGGAAACAGATGTGACCAGATCGCCTGTGGGCGAGCTGCACTCATCAGTCCAGCTCTGCAATGGGCGAGCTGATTTCAACCACCTATGCTTCTTGACTCGATCGTACTTTGAACCGTGATCGAAATGTTCTTTGTTTCGTCTCAATCCGCCTTACCGTTTGAATTTTAGAAAAAAAAACATAAAAGACACGTTTTTAGTACAACCTCGAGTAAATCGTATAAAACGGCAACGGTTAAACAAAACACCAAACATTGCCAAAATATACGATTAAATCGAGATTTTTTAATAAAAACCGTAAAATACACGTTTTAGTGAAACCTCGAGTAAATCGTATATAACGGCAACGGTTAAACAAAAGCCGAACATTGCCAAACTATACGATTAACTCGATATCTCTTATAAAAATCGTAAATTACACATTTTTAGTGAAACCTCAAGTAAATCTTACGAAACGGCAACGGTCAAATGAAACACCGAACATTGCCAAACTATATGATTAACTCGAGATGTTTACCCAAAAACGTCGTCGTATTAGGAAACGATCTTGTCTAAAGTCGAAAAACGGCTAAGTCGTAAAACGGCTCGAAAGATCCTAAAACGCGATAAAAGCCCACTCGCGACTTTAGACAAGATCTAGCCCAAAGATACAATGAAGGTTTGCCTATTATCCGCAGGAATAGATAAATGTCAAGATTGAAGATAAATAGAATTTTTCCGCAGAAAAATGGAAAGATCGAGATAAATGGAAGATTTCCGATAAGCACGAATCAGGGCTGAAAAGGAAAGACTAAACCGCCCAAAGGAGTATATAAGCAGAAGGTCGAGGACAGAAGCAGGAGAGGTTCATAACTCTCTTCACACACAAACTTAGGCATTTAGGCAATTTTCTGTTTTTGTTAGCGAGCTGCGTCTCAACTAGGGTTTTAGTCTTAGGTTACTAGAACTAGGGAACTCGCTGTCAGCTCTTGTAGCCAAGTCTTTACCTCGTTGTACCGCTCTTACGCAGATTCGTAATAAGAAACCTTTTTGCGCTTTAATTTTGATTTTATTTGTTCTTACTGTTATTCTCGTTTTCTGATTGATTGGCGTGTGGTTTAGCAGATATTCGCGACCTCTGGGAAATTAGGGTTTTCCCTAAGTTCCTTAATTCACGGAAATTGACAGTGTGAATTTCGGTTCCCACAGAAAGCACAACACTATGCATGCATTTTACACTTGAAACGTAACATACATACTTATTTCAAAAACAAGCATCTCTCATACCTTGTGGGCAAAGCAGCTCGGGCATTTTGTCTTCCTGAATTCTATGGGGTGTTCAACGAAATAAAAATGATGAATGCTTCTTGTGCAGAATACCTAATAGGTTTAGGATTTGAACATTGGGCACTGGTGCATTTCACTGGGAAACGATACAACATTATGACATTCTTCGTGAAGCAAGAGAGCATCCTATATTGCCACTGCTTGAATTTACTAGATCAAAGCTAATGAATTGGTTTTCAGAAAGGCGTACTGGAAACAACAACGAAAATAACCATTTCAGAAAACGTGTGCATGAGATAGTAGCGGAAAATTTTGAACAAAGGGGAGGGATGGTAGCAAGCAAGATCAATAGTTTGGAATGTGAGGTGAGAGACAAAGAAGGAGGATCGTTCCACGTCAACCTAGGAAACAAAAGTTGCAGTTGTAATGTATTCCAAACCCTCATGATACCATGTTCAGATGCTATCTCTGCATCTATCAAAGGAAAAGTGAGAGTCGAAACACTTGCCTTGGAAGTTTACAATGTCGAGTGTCTTGCAGCTCCTTACAAAGATGATATATTTCCGGTAAGCAAGATCAATACGAGACAAGATCATGAAAGTGAAGCAGTCCCACCAGCTACCAGACGCCCACCAGGCCGACCCTATAAGAGAAGGATATTATCAGCTAGAGAAATAAGGGTAGGTAACAAATTATAATAAATTTTTGGCATTTTATATTACACAATTAACATATAATTTTCGTAGATGAAGGCTCCAAGGAAAAAACATGTTTGCAGCCGTTTCAAGGGAAGTGGACACAACCGAGCAACATGAAAGGTTCCTATATAAAAAGCTATTGAAGTCCAAGCAAGTTGGCATATCTTGGATGATGAAGGTATTGGATAAGTAGGTGGACTTCTAGTAGGCAGATATTTAAAAACTAAGCAATGTAAAATATATTGTAAAACTGGATTGAAGCATAAATGTAATATGCCCGAGAATATAGTATAAATAAGAAAGCCAAGTTGGTTATAAATCACAAGATTACCATATTTTTGTTGTTAACACTATAATACTATAGAATCATTATTAGGGGAGCCTTGGGAGTGAAGTTAGTAACAGGTTATAATCATTATTAATCAAGAGGCATTAATCAAGAGGCGATCGAAGGATACAACAGTATATGAAAATTTCTCCCACTATAATAAGGCTACTATATTCAAAATGTTATTTATTTATATAGATCACAGCTACCATTTTAGTCTAAGTATCAAATTTGGTACACTAATACCGGTTATATTTCAAATGTTGTGTTAATGAATTAAGAAAACATTAAGATGATGGTTATTCACACCAAGTTGATGTTTTATAAAATATATAAAAAGTCACGGTTAAAGGAAATCCGGTTCGAACAAGGCTTACAATACGAGACTCTGAACTTAAATTATACATACTAAAACCACACAGCTTAAAACTCAGACAATCTCTTTAAGCTCAAAAGCCATAATTGCAGCACTCTTCTCTTCTTCCGCAAGAATGTTGGAATTGATATTCTTTCATGCTTTGATACCGTAAACAGCATGAGTTGCCATAGTAGCACAGCCATCAATCCAGAGTTAAAAAGATTTTGTGTTTGACGGAGACATTTCGGTTGCTCATATGCTAAACGTTGTGGCTCATCACCATCAAGATCATGTCCAGAGAATCTAAGAAGAAACATTATCATAAGAAAGTGAGGGTGTAGATGTTTTTCCATCATCACATCAGAGTACAAGGAAGTATTGGAGTCTAGAACTGTAATTTTCTCACAACTGGGATCAACGGATACACCCACCCAGTGTTTCCTGCATACATTTATTGGGAAGTAAAACCGTCTAGGGTGGACGTATGAGACATTCTTCTCATCACAAGGTTGAACCAATCTGGTAGGAAAAACAAACGACTCTTTTTTTCTACTCTTAGAAAATCTGGGATAAGTCCGAACAATTCCAGACATGTATTTACTGTCGAGATATACATCCCTTTTAGAGAAGTCAGCATGAAAATGTTGTTCAATACTATATTAGACTACTCGAATTAGTATGTCAACAACTAAAAGAAGCTATTAATTTGTCAAGTCTGTTGTAAGGATGTTTACCTTTGTGGTAAAAAAACTTGGTTCTCTCTGCAATGAGTAGAATATCTTTTGCACTTACGGCTACTCCACCGAGCTTGATTAAACTGACATAAGTAAATATAAGAATATATAGACAACAGATAGTTGTTCCACCAAGAGTAAATCCTAGTAACCAGAAATATAAAGGACAGAACACTCACACACATCGTTTTACTTGTTGTACAAGCCTTGCATATTTCATATCGATCTCATTTATCTCATCGAATGCGAAAATGAACTTCTGTGATTTCCTCACACGTGAGACAATCGCACGACCGCACTGTTAATCCTCAACAAGGGCTTGGGGGACACACTTTTGTCTCTTGTTTTTCCGAGACTGCTGTGGATCTTCACTATTGTCTCCAACATTCAAGGTAGGCCGGGGAACGAAACCCACAAACTCCATCGGAGTAATACCGTCAGCCACATCCAACTTCTCTTCCTGAGTTAGTCCTAGAGAGAAGGAAGGCATATCGATGAAAGGTCTTTGTACCTGTTTTCAACCTTCTTTACAGAGATACAATAAACAACACGAAATTGTAATACAACCCATGGTAAACAAGTTGAGTAACATATATCTTGGAAAGAGATATAGTATTCAGACCAATGGTTGATTAAGGTCTAAATACCTATGAAGATTCTGGCTATGAGCTGAGCTGAGAGTGAAAAACTCTCATTAACGTTGTCACCTGCAGCAGGACCATATAAAACTTCCTTGTTGTTTGTGGGACTCGGATTATCCCCCTACAATCCAATTCCAAACATAAGAACTAACTCCCTTATACATCAATCCACGATAAGCCATTTAAACCACTATAAAACTAGAGAATTAGAATTTACTAGACTTAAACGCGGGGAGGTTGGAGGAGTTGAGTAGGCACTTAGATTACCAAGAATATTACGGATACTTTGAGCATTTGCATCCCTAACGGGACTCACATTTGAACCCGGCATATTGCCATTATCCATACTCGCAATATGTGTCGCCTTTTCTGGTATCCTAGATGAACCAGTTTCATCGTCTTTAGTCAACTCAGCAACCAAACATCTTACCGATTCTATCATTTCTTCTTTAAACTTCGCAAACACAGACTGAACAAGTTCAAGCAGAGACCCCTCGATTGAATCTACTCTCTTACTCTTACAAGTTCGCAAGATATTCCCCTCCTTTTTTGTAACTCTGGTTTAACATTTTCGATAACAAGCGAAGGAATGTAACCTGGATTGTTTGACATATTAAGGGCAGGCTGTTTCAACTTCGAAGACACATTTTCAGAGTCTCTCATCCGATCATCATCTAATTTACTAGTCCCACCAACAAACATAGATTTGGTGAACTGAAAGTTAGTGTTGATGTGAAATACCATGTGGTCAACCTTTTCGTCATCTTCTTCGTCGGACCAGACCAACTGCGACTCGTCTATTGGTCTCAACGAGTCTTCATCAATGATGCTTCTTACAAGAACCTGGAACCCAACAATCATCAGTTTTGTGTTTCCAAAATTACGATACTTTGAAACATGGAACAATATATAACCCAGATTAATTTGTTTTCAACGATTTTCCACAAAAATCAAGCGAAATCAATTAATTTGAACAATATACAAAATAAGTATAAGTGATTACGACACAGAAAATGAAGAATTATGGCAAATAACTTACATCACGCTTGTCGACGTTTCTTGCATGAGCAAGACTAAGAGTCTTCCTCTTTGGTTTAGCATTCTTTTCATCAACATCTTCTTCGCTATCACCTTCAGATGACGAACATGTTTCCTGAACAACTTCATGAAGACAGGGGACCGCCTCAACCATGACAAGCTGTAAGCCCAGTGCAAATCTTTTCACAGCAATGGTGTTCTGTGACAAAGCTATCTCATATCGCTCTTTAATACTGCACATAAGAATGTCAAGAGCTAATCTTCCCCATGGATAAGTGAAGAATTCTTCGAGATCTTAAATAGCCTCAATGTGTTCTCTACATATTTTCATCTTCACAGTAGTTGGAAGAAGCACAGAAGATAAAATCGCCAAGCAAGCGTATTTGATTCGAACAATACTCTCTTCAATGGTGTGCTTCCTCAGCATTCTGATGAGAGATGCACCTGTGGCGATTTCATTTTTCCCAAACAACGACGGCCAGTAAGTTTTTTTCGATATAGTATCTTTCAGCTTCATATTTGATTTCAGAGGAAATTTCCCACATGGAAGTCTAGTGACGATTGCAAATTGTTTGAGTGAAAAAACGTATTGGTTTACCGGAAAATCAGAACCAAGCTTCGTGTTTTTTTTTTCATCTGCCTAGATAGTATGTATCTAGCAAATCTCCCAGAGAAAATTTGTTTCTCAACAATTTCCAAAATTTTCCCAAACGCAAAACCATGTATAATCTGAATTTCCTCGTCCTCCAACGCGTTATAGATACGATTGATGGCTCCGGATCGTAGATACGTCAGAAAACGCACACTGACTGGTTCTTCTCCCACTGCAAACATCATCTCCGTGATAGATCAGACAGGATGTTCTTCAGGTGAATCGGGCCGGTCGACTAGACGGACAGAAACCATCTTTCGTCTTCTTCAGATCTTACAATGGTTGCTGTTTTTTACTTCTTTATTTTATCCGATGATATACGTCTTCTTGGAGTAAACATATATAACTAGATGAAAGAGAAAGTGAGGTAGGTGATAAGGACGAGGGATGATTTATGATGAATTTAGTTTTCCATTTTACCGACAGAGGATAACTTTAGATGCATGAAATACAGTTCCTCGAGGATGAGAGTCACACTTAAGTGCTTTTACTATTGACTCTAGTAGTACCTACATAGTAGGCTAGCTCAGCGGTATAGGTTTGCAGATAAAGCCTACAAGGTTAGTTTTTTTTTTTGAGAACAAACGGCTGATCTATTACTCAAGCTTGAGGTGGTCTGGGAAGCCAGACCGGAATAGAACAATCAACATACAATAAATCTTGATAAAAGGATTGAGCATATTTAGCTAAAGAGTCAGCAACACCATTCTGCGTCCTAGGACATAGAAAATCTTGAAGTCTGGAAAACAAATTTGCAGTGTCAGGATCTTTTCTAACTCCGTTGAGAAACTTGGCCAGTCGTGGGGGTCTCTAAGTATCGCTATTAGCTCCTTGCAATCCGTCCCAAAGCTCTGACATGGCGAATGTTGAAGATATTCTCCATTGCCCACCGCAGTGCTTCCAGCTTAGAGTGCAAAGCAGACTCCAAACGGCTACAATTGCGCATACCCATTAGCTGGCTATTTCCCATACTGTCACTCCAAATCCATCCACATCCACTGAATTAAGCTGTAGCTGTCCAAGAACCGTCAACCATACAGATGTCTCCCAGACATATGGCCTGGTCGATATCTATGTTCCCTTGATCTGGTAGTATAATCTGTTCATTTGCTTGGAACCAGGCTTGGCACTCACTCTCTGCATAACGGGCTAGCTCCAGTGGATCTCTATCAATACCTCTGAACATCTTATCGTTTCGAGCCTTCCCAATATACCAAATTAGCCAGGGATAAGGGTCCCTGTCCATTTCCAGTTCCATTGTGGCATTTTTTCTCCAAAAGAGATAATCCATATTCGCATATGTGCTTTGTAATAGAAACAAGGTAGGACTGGAAGACGTAGAAGATAAAGCCCAAACTTGCATTGCGGGTGGGCACTGGAAGATTGCATGTGCAACTGTTTCTTCTGCCTCCCCACATCGTGGACAGTGGTTATCACATCTCATATGTTGATAATTCAGAGTACTTGTAACAGCCACATGACTTGTTATTATTTGCCACATAAGATGACATATCTTCTGGGGTGCCTTAACCTTCCAAGAATGTGCTTGGATTTTTGTGATACTAGATTCACAAACTACAGCTTCCTCCTCCTTCCTCAGTATATATCTTGCAACCCAATATCCAGATTTGACTGTGTACTTCCCATTTCTTGTATAGCTCCAGCAATACGTGTCTCTGCGATTTGTTACACTAATCGCCATTCTCCTTATTAGTGGTATGTCAGCCGCATCTATATATTTCTCCAGTCAGATCCCAAGACTTTGTTTCTTGGTTAATGAGGTCGCTCACTCGCATATTTGGATGTAGAACCGGTACAGATGGGACCACTGATCTCGCTGGAATGGTAGGGATCCATGGATCCTCCCATACTCTTACCTCATATCCTGAATGTATTTTCTGTCTAATCCCCAACAATAATAATTCTCGTGCCGCTGCTATACTTGTCCACACATACGATGGGCTACTGACAGTAAATTATCGCAATGGCGAACTTGATCGATAGTTCCGGCCTCTCAAAAGTCGAGCTACCAGTGAATCTGGGTGTTAAACCAATCTCCATAATTGCTTTGCTAGCAGCGCCAGATTAAACTTATGAATCATTCTGAACCCGATCCCTCCTTCCTCTTTAGATAAGCATAACTTATTTCATGTTGACCAGTGAATACCTCTCTTTGGGGAATCGAACTCCACCAGAATTGTGCAATGGCAATAGCTAAAGCATCACAAATCTCAAATAGAAGAAGGAACAGGACATCACATAAGTCGGGAGTGCTAATAGGATCGACTTAATCATGACTTCCTTGCCACCTTTTGATGGCCACCATTCACTCTATTCCTTAGCTTATCCTTTAAGAATGCAAAAATCTTGCTTTTAGATCCATTGATATCCTATGGGATTCCTAAGTATGTCCCCATCCCTCCTTCATTCTGAATCCCAAGTGTATTCTTAATATCTTGCCTAACATCTTGTTTTATTCTCTTACCAAAGAGTAGAGCTGATTTATCAAAATTAATGCATTGTCTTGAGGCTTGACCATATTTTCTGACCACTCTCATTACTTCTTCACATTCACGGGGCTCTGCCTTACAAAAGAACAAGCTATCGTCAGCAAAGAGAAGGTGAGATACCGAAAGACACGCACGCGTGATGCGCATCCCTGTTATCTTCCCTTGATTCTCTGCATGATTTAGAAGGCTAACGAGCGCTTCCGTGCATAGAATAAAGATGAAAGGGGACAGAGGATCCCCTTGTCGTTGACCTCTTTCCTGGAAGATATTCCCTCTTAGCTGTCCATTCATGAGGACCTTGTATTTTACTGATGTTACACATCACATTATCCAGTATATCCAGAATTCTGAGAATCACATATTTCTCATGGTGGCCTCACTGAAGGACCATTCCATTCTGTCATATGCCTTTCTCATGTCTGTTTTAATAGCCATCCTCTTATTGCGTCCACTCGGTTTTGTTCTTAAGGCATGGAACATCTCCTGGGCTATCATAATGTTGTCAGATATCTTTCTCCCGGCAACAAAGGCTGACTGGATTTCTGAAATCCTATCTGGTAGAACCTTTTTAGTCTCTGGCATAAGACCTTAGAGATAATCTTGTAACTAACATTACAAAGACTGATAGGGCGTAGTTGACTCATCTGGTTTGGCTTATCTATTTTTGGGATAAGGCATATGTTGGTATCATTTAACCCAGGAGGTAACATCCCTTCAAATAGGAATTGATTAACCATAAGAGTTAGATCATCCTTTACGATATCCCAAAAATTCTGGTACAACAATGCAGTCATTCCGTCCGGCCCTGGGGCTTTCTCAAGGTGCATGGAAAAAAGAGGCAACATAACTTCCCACTTAGTGACCGGAGCTGTCAGGCCCTCATTATCTGCTGGCGTAATTGTAGTGGTAACTACAGAAAGTCCATCCTCTATCTCTTCCGGGTTTGATGATTGGAAAATGTATTGAAATTAACTTGTAGCAATGGCTACCATTCCTTCCTCATCCTCTACAATATTCTCATCTTCATCCAGCAATTGGGTAATCATGTTCCTCGCTCTTCTTTGCTTCGTGAGAGCGTGGAAAAATTTAGTATTTCTATCTCATTCCCTTAACCAGAATACCCTACACTTCTGTTTCCAGAACATCTCCTCCGTCTTAAGAGCGTCAGCAAGTTGTTTTAAAGCTGACGCAATCTCCTCTGTAGTGGCATCATCATTTGAAGATAATTGGTCCACCTTTCCT